AAGTTTATATCAAACTCACCCCTGGGGGGTGGTGAGTTGATGGTTTTGGATTTTTCAAAATTTCTCGGCTAAAGAGCTAGGGGTGAGTTGATAAAATGCCAGTGTTTAAAAAAAGGATGTGAGAACACATCCTAAAAGAAACCATCAGAAAAATGGTAGTAGTTTGGCAGCAGACCTCACATTCATGAAAACGCAATCATGTCAAACACAGCGCTATCAAAATGGCTTGATTTTAGCAGCATCATTTTTTTCGCTTTATGATACTTAGTTTTACTTAGAACATTCTGAACTTGGCTAGTCATGTGTCCTCAAGCCAACGGTATCAAAACTGGCAATATATTTTGGAATTACAAGTGTATTTTCTTGTAATTAAAACACATTGTCAGTTGCGGGTCAAGGTTGATATGCCTCTGACAGAGATAATGGATTGAAATGAAAGAATACATATACTTCTGAGCTTTTGTTGACTGGTAGTCAACAAAATATTTATGAAGTGAAGTGAAGCGAATCTAATTCGGACCGTATTCTATAAGGTGAAATAAGCGACATAAAACAGAATTCGGCATCAAAAGCCAAAATTAACCCTCGCACTTATAGGCGGGCGAACGGACCACCTCGGCTTTTCGCACATAACTCGCGCAAAAAGCGGCCGATCACGACGAAACTTTCAGTACCTCTCGAGTTTATCAATTTTATACATGTTCTAAAGATTTCATGACCCTGACTCAAATGGTTTTTGACTTGTGACCTGATTCTCGAGACCATGCTTGGCCGGAATCGCGATTTGGCGTAGTCGGCTCACATTATCCGCGCATTTCCAGTCTTTTTGTGATTGTAACGTCCAAACATGTAAATGATGTTGGTCCCACGCAGTATTGTGGGTGTCAACTGTCAAGGTCACCTGAAGGTCAGGTCAGGTCATTGACCTTTGGTGACCTCGGTTCACTTTTGGAGTTTTACATGTTTCTAGGGTAGTTTTTTCGCGCCGATTTCGAATTTAACATGCATTTGATCATTTATGAAGTAGTTTTAGTGCCTTCGTAACATGTTACGACACCGTCAGTGGTAGCTGACACTTGACACTCCCTATGGATAGCCGGCAGGACACCTACTGGTTGACCTGACCTGACCTGGCCTAAATGTACGAAGACATCTGTGATCAAAACTAACATGACATTCGTGATCAGCAACAGCCAAAAAATAATAAACTCGCTTTACGAACTTCAAATAACCCCCTATTTTCCCGACTTCTGGGTAATTGACCTGGCCTGGAAGGTTAACCAATGACCTAGGACCTTAAAGTTGGTTATCATCGGCTTCTTCGCGTCTCGGGCAACACGGTCATTTTTTCCGCGAAGCTCTAGCTCCACCAGGGGCCAAACGACGATGGGATTCCAACGGACCCCCCTCCCCCCCCCTATACGTTAAACGCTGGCAAAACACGAATACGGGCGAGGGCTAAACACCAGTCAATTTCTTTATATTGTTTGTTCCATTTAATTTTGTCACTCATTCTCGGTTGGCAACTGCCAAGCAGGAAAACTAATCAGTTTCACGAGATCAGAATGCCCGCGCTGTTAGCCATACAGAAATGACAGTTCTGTCATTTTCGAAACCACGAATAATTATAACAGTTTTTTAATCTGTATGCAATATAGGTGTTCTATAGTGTTCCTTTGTAGCTTGTAGGGAGCCATCTTGAGACTTGACAGGGAGTTGTGCTGTGCCTTTTGCATGTTAGGTATGTCCACAGAAAAAAAAAACTTTGGGGTTACTGATGTTAGTTGTCGGACCTTCGTCCCCGTCTTGAGTTGAGATGTTAGTTTCACAGCGTTTCGGCCAGTTACTCTCCGGCCGTCGTCACTCGTCAGGTGTTCTTTGACCCTCAGAAGGACCTGGATGTTGGTGGCGTTGCGCCGTACGCGTCAAACAGTTCGAAAGCTCATGTAGTCAGCGGGAATCGAACTCGGGTTTCCCCGGTGATGGTCCACGGTTGTAACCACTCCACTATCGAGGCAGATTTGACTACGGCCGGAGAAGTTACTGGCTGAAACGTTGTGAAACTAACATCTCAACTCAAGACGGGGACGAAAGTCCGACAACTAACATCAGTGATACTAACAGGCCTCGTCTCAAGCATTCAGAAAAAAAAAAAACTAAAGCTTTTGGGGGTTGATGGAATGATGTGGGGAAAGAAAAGGAGAAGAGTTGGTGTAATTGACTTTGTCTTACCTGCAGACCCATATTTCATGCTAATATGCATGCCTACCAGCCTGGTATCAGCTTTTATCATGTATATCAACTCACCACCTGATGGCATATCAACTCACCACCTGTCACTTTTCTTAAAATTATAAAAAAGCGTTGTTATAGGTGAAACCCAAAACTACCTGGGATCAACAGTAAATTGATGGTAGTTTCTTTCCCAGTGCATGTTGTTTCATGAATATCCACCGTCTTTGCTGTAGGGTGGGGGCTTTTCCTTAGTTTCAAAATCAGAAGAAAAAAAGGACTTTGATAAAAGTAATGTGTTAAGAAGGCACTGCACCACATGCATGCCTTTCTCAGCTATATGCATCACTTATTGGTTGCTTCACTTCACAGAAAAATAAAACTGAAAATTGGTTTACAAATGGATGAGCAGCACACATTTTAACATTTTTCGAGCAATTTATATCAACTCACCACCCCATATCAACTCACCCCGGTTTACGGTACTCAAATATAGTTACCTAACCAGAGTTTTGTAATTTTGGTAATTTACATTCTGATTCAATTAAGGATTCAGTGGATGAAAATATGGATGTCAAATACACGGGCACCCAGCTACCCCATCCTGCAGCGATACAGCAGCAGTCCACGGAGCGTGGCGACAGCAGTTCTCACCGGTTCACAATGGGGTCCGTGTGGAGTCCAACGATCAGAAAGTCGCCCTCGGCAGCCGCCTTCTCCAGAAAGTCCAGGTGACCGACGTGGAACAGGTCAAACGCGCCGGCCACGTACACCACACGGTCACCGGGCTGAGGTCACAGGTCAGATATGGGTCAGATGCGGGTCAGATTAGGGTCATATAGAGGTGGGATACAGGTACGAAAAAGCTCACATGCTATTAAAAGAGTAGGTACAATATACAAACAGACAAACAGATTTCCTCTCCAACTCTCACCGCATTTTAGCCTCCTCTCTTTCCGGCCTGTTCTTTCTCCCCGCCTCTCTCCCTCTCTCTCTCTCTCTCTCTCTCTCTCTCTCTCTTTCTCTTTCTCTTTCTCTTTCTCTTTCTCTTTCTCTTTCTCTTTCTCTTTCTCTCTCTCTCTCTCTCTCTCTCTCTCTCTCTCTCTCTCTCTCTCTCTCTCTCTCTCTATCTCTCTCTCTCTCTCTCTCTCTCTCTCTCTCTCTCTCTCTCTCTCCCTCCCACCTTGGGCGCCCGTCCGGATGAGAACTGGATCAGCTGCCGCGTGGTGGGCAGGAACTGAGTGACGCCCGTCCACGGACTGTGTGCCGTGGCGCCGTGCTCCAGGGACGGCTCCGGCGGCAGGTCAACAGAGTACTCGTCCTTACCAGTCTGTGTAATAAAGGTCAGGTCAGGTCAGGTCAGGTCAACAGAGTACTCGTCCTTGCCAGTCTGTGTAATAAAGGTCAGGTCAGGTCAGGTCAGGTCAACAGAGTACTCGTCCTTGCCAGTCTGTGTAATAAAGGTCAGGTCAGGTCAGGTCAGGTCAACAGAGTACTCGTCCTTGCCAGTCTGTGTAATAAAGGTCAGGTCAGGTCAGGTCAACAGAGTACTCGTCCTTGCCAGTCTGTGTAATAAAGGTCAGGTCAGGTCAGGTCAACAGAGTAGGTACTCGTTCTTGTCAGTCTGTGTAACAAAGGTCAGGTCAGGTCAGGTCAACAGAGTACTCGTCCTTACCAGTCTGTGTAACACAGGTCAGGTCAGGTCAGGTCAGGTCAACAGAGTACTCGTCCCTCGCAGTCTATATAACATAAGTCAGGTCCATAGATGTCTCGTCCTTGCCCGTCTGTATGTAAAGGTCAGGTCAGGTCAGATCCGATATGATTCACCGAGTAAGTGTACTTAGGTCAGTCACATTTTCATCACAAATTTAGAACAAAAAGCTATATTCGCTAAATATATCAGGTTCACGTGCCATATTCCTCAAGTAAATATGGTCGCTGACCACTGCAAAAGCCTACCCTCCGGACTGGCCCCGTGACCTGACCTTGAAGTGGGTCCGGGTCATGAGCAGCATCCGCCCGACCAGGTCGGTGGTGGAGACACCCCGCGTGCGCTGACACTCCCTGAAACGGGCGGGGACGAGTTATTGGAGCGGGGGGGGGGGACCTCGTGTACGCTGACACTCCCTGAAACGGGCGGGGACCGAGGGAGTTAATGGAGCGAGGGGGCCGAAACACACATCCCCTGAAACAAACAGCGGCGCCGACGGAATCAACAGGAAAAGGGGTCTGGTAGAGACTAGAGATCTGATGGATTGCCATTGCTTACGTTTCATGTTGACATACGCCGAACGTAAACAGAGACAACGTCCAAACCATTCGCCTTCCTACTTATTTATTCCTACTGATTCAAACCATGTGGAGTAGAGGCTTTACTTATTTCATAACTCAAACAAGTTCTCGAACCGCGTGCGAGTGTATTGTGGAGCTATTTCGACATGTTGTTGTAGCTCTAAAATGGACGAGATGTTTTATTACAATAACTAGGTATACACGATTATCAGTTTCCAATGCCGTGATCGATGGACGACGCTCGCCATGTTAGTGGAATGTTTTGTACTATACGTTAACATGATATTTAACGTTGGGCGAAACTGACTGACAACTGGATCATCAATGAATATAGTACCAACTGCAAACAATATTCTCCGTAAGACACAGACGAAAAGCAAAACGGATGCGTGCTTTACATATTTATATGAAATATCATCCCGCGAAAGGCAGGGAGGGAAGAGGACAGGAGCCGTGCCAGCTCCCGCGACATCAGCCATAAATTAAAAATATGAAGCACATTTCTACGCGGAAAATGTTTGATGGTTTCTTGCAATGCTGTGCATGACCGCTACCTATAATAAAAACTCCAAAATCGCTCCTTCATACCCTCTGCCCCGTCACGCTTGAAGCGTAGTTCGAGAGACCCGTCCCCGCTGAGGCCCTGCAATTTGCACTGACAGCTCCAAATCCGTCACTATCAGCACAAACCTTTGTCCTCAAGACGCCATCACTGCTGTGTGCTCAGTGCTTACCGCGACACGTGCCACCCGCCCCCCCCCCCCCCCCCTGTGGAGGCCCCGAGTATCGGTCTTTGGACCGGAATCACGCCACCGAAAACCGTCCCCCGCCCCCTCCAAGCCCTGAGCAGTGGGACACATCGAGTGGTACTGACTTTTTGACCTGCAACTGCCCCCAGCCCCGCTCTTCAATGCTCCAAGGACAGTCGAGTGGCTTTTAGCCTTCGGATCAGCAACCCTCGGACCTTCCCCCCCCTTCCCCCGCTCTTCAGCGCCCCAAGGACAGTCAAGAGGCACAGGATTGAGGATTACGGACCGACAACCTCTAAACTCCCCCTCCCCGATCCTCAAAGCTTCAAGTGGTACACGCTTTCGGGCCTACAAATCCCCTCCCCTATCCGCCCCCCGGGGGGGGGGGGCAGTTGAGAGGCACTGACTTTCGGACCTGCAACGCCCCCTCCCCTCCCCAGTCGAGGCACCCGCGTCGTGCTGTCTGTGCTTGGGGAAATGTTGGGGGAATGACCCGGCCGATGCTCTAATTGTTTAGACCGGACAGTCAGCTGACCGAGATGGTGACCTTGAGCGCGTGACGTCATGTCACGTGGGTAGATATTCAAACAATGTTTATCGACGGTGGTTTATACTATTGAATTGGAAAATCGGTCAACGATGTTTCCCGTTAGTGATTCTACTGTACGTGCTTTGCAACGTGCGCTGGCAGATACAAAATATTTTGCAACAGATACAAAAATCAGTATCTGTGTTATATAAAGATAAGTCTTCCCATAAAAAGATAAGCCAAACCAAAAAAAAAATCTTAATAACTTCTTATGGTACTAAGCTGCATAAACCGAAGAACGTTGAGTGAAACACTGCATACATATGCATGTCGATATCGATGGCTTTTGAACTAAGTGGGGAGCTCAGTGCATTTTTAATGGGAATTGATACAGTGCTATGCGCCAAAGCTGCAAGCACTACTGGCGCACTCAACGTACATATAACCAGGGCTGCGGAGTCGGAGTCGGAGTCGGTCGGAGTCGACAGTTGTGACCGCAGTCGGAGTCGGAGTCGGAGTCGATTTTAGAAACCCGAGCCGGAGTCGGAGTCGGAGTCACCGAAAATCTGTCGACTCCGCGGCCCTGCTAGGTCTGCGGAGTCGGAGTCGGGAGTTGGAGTCGGTAGGAGTCGACAATTCTGCCCGGAGTCGGAGTCGGAGTCGGAGCTGGTTTTTGAAAGCCGGAGTCGGAGTCGGAGTCGGAGTCGCCGAAAATCCATCGACTCCGCAGCCCTGCATATAACCAGTACGTAGCTAGTTCATTGTATGGCAAGGCAAGCCCAGGTCATCGAGTTTTTTATCCTAAACACTGCTCTTGCTTAGAAGTGGATTTGAAATTGTAGATGGTCTGATTATAAAACGCACTTCAAATAACACGTCTACATAAAATCGGTCACAAAAGGCGAAAAGAGCACTTCACCTCGCAAAGGAACCGAACCCAGATAGCTGTCTTACAGCGAGTAGCCGTCACTCACTTGTATCGGTTGGCCGCCTTGACGATATGGTAGGTATCGACTCCCTCGGCCGTCATCGTAATGTCATCTGTCGGACAATTAAAGGGGGGGGGGGGTCAATACGCCAGGGTGCAAGCAGTCACTAAACTTACGTACCAAGTGGTGCATACAGGATTTGGCGGGACTGGCTGAGGCTCAGATACAGTAAAATGGAAAATGATTTGTAAACAGTTATAAATACCCAAATTTTTAACACATTGTCCACATGATAAATATCCACATTTCCAGAAATAAGTGTAATTGCTAATATATCTAAACATTTGTGAATGCCTGTAATTGTCATCAATGTACAATATACATGTTATCAATGCGCCCATGTATAAGAGCGCAAAATACAGCTGGGTGCACGCATTTATTTGGCTATTTCAGCTCAGGATATCAACTAGTGATGTCAATTACGGAAAATCGGAATACCGATACCAAACCAAACACCAACCAAAACCATGGGAAAATACCGAAACCAAACCAACTTCGGAAACTGAGGGAAATATCAACTTTTTACCGATTTCTTAGCCACATATATTAGTGAGGGCTTATGATACCAACAAAATACTAAACACATTACGATTGAAATACCAAATACCAAGTTGGTATCGGTTTGGTATCGGTATACCAAAAAAGTTGGTATCCGATTGACATATCTAATATCAACAGACAATGAACATCAGCTGCCACAATGTTCGTTCCATATCAATATTCAAAATGTGTCGAACCGCGGCTGTAAAGCGGATGTGATTTGATACCGATGATTCAGCCCAGTGATATCTGCACAGCAATGCACCACTACCGACGCCCCTAATACTCCGATAGTAGACCAACAATGATCCCAGACTGACAGGCAGTCACCGACAGTGACGGATTACATCGCAGATATAGATAAACTGAGCTAGCATCGACAGTGAGCCTCACCAGATTCAGTCGGGGATGTTCATTTATTTATTGAGCACAGTTCAAATGAAGGCTGCGCGAGCGCACTCACGGCTAAATTCCTCCTATGAGATGCTCTTCAGACATTATCTACCGTTGAGTTGGCGGCCATTTAGGATTATTCCGAATAGCCAAACAAACTCAAAACCGCTTTCGTTTTAAAACAGCGACCAAGGCTTTGACGAGCATTTCATAGCATGACAAAATGGTTGACTACTTTTTCATAGGTACGAGCGAAACGGGCAACAAATACATAATGCAATACGTAAAGTTCTGAAGTCTTCCCATCGCTGTAAGTATAAAAATGTCAACAAAAACAGAACAAAATGCAACTCTGTGTAGCATGTCTGTGAATGGGGAAAACAGAAAAGGCTCGTTCAAAAACCCTATCAATCACCCAATCAACATCTTACGCAAATTTCCTCCAGAGAGGAAAAGTTACGCTTGTCAAAATTTCAGAACGCGCTCAACGTCCACAATGCATCCATACAAACGTGCCCTAGTTCACAGCCTACCTCCAGGTTTAACCACACAAACGTGCCCTAGTTCACAGCCTACCTCCAGGTTTAGCCATACAAACGTGCCCTAGATCACAGCCCACCTCCAGATTTATCCACACAAACGTGCCCTAGTTGGTGCCCTACCTCCGTGTACGCAGAAGTCACACCCGTACTTGTCCAGTGTCTCCAGTGTTGTAACATAAGGAGCGGCTTCCACTACCTCGTCGACCCATTTGATGGCGCGCACCATTTTGTACCTGGTGACACGGTCGGGGGTGGGTCAGGACGTGGTTAGGGAGAAATACCGTCACATATTTCTACCTAACGGTATTTCATAATGTTGTGACGGTATTTCATGCCACCCCCGGGGGCGAGGGGCGTGAAATACCGTCACATCATCTCATAGTTACAAACACCATGGCGATATCAGAATAAAACACCGTTACGGCACATCAATAGTTATACATGTGATGCAATGCGCAATCCGTTTCACCATGTAAGGTTACCGGAGACGTGCATCATTTGACGGCCTACATTCCACTTGAAGTTATGTTTTATGGATCTCAAAATAAACCCGCCCATAAAAATACCGCGACTTGGAACAGAGTTTACTTATTTACAGGTATGCACAAATCTAAAAAAAAACATCAACTATGTTTCGTTTTTGCCCACCACAATCATACCCCATCGTGAAGAGAGCCAGCACTCAGGCATCCTGAGAGGCACTCAGGACTAGCCCCCTACAACCCTTATCACTCACCCCTCCCTCACGTGCGCCCCCACTCCCATCTGTCGGTGTACCAGTGTACCACTGACCGTTCCTCCTCGGTGAAAACGGGCGGCCCCTTGTGCTCGGTGACCTCGGCGTCACTGTGCACCCCCACCATCAGGTAGTCGCCCATGGCTTTGGCCTGACGTAACGAGTTGGCGTGACCAAAGTGCACCATGTCGTAGCTGTGGAAGAATAGCTTGTTCACATCCATAGGTTGCAAGGGGATCGCAATTTATGAGACATAACTGATATAAGTATTTATTAATACGATTTATGAGAGTGAAAACGTATGCGTCAGCACAGGCTCTCGCGTACGATTTTCTGATTGCCGGAAAAGTATACTCCTACCATAGAAAAGTTGCTGATTTAGGGCGTGTACGCAGTCTCCTCAGGCGAGAAGCCTTTTGCGTCGTCCGGCCAATCCCGTTCGATAACCGCAACCGAGCCCCCGGCGCCGACCTCGAACGGTCCGACAACGCCGGACATTGACCGGACAACGTAGGAACTTCGTCGCCGGTCACGTAGCTCAGTCGGTAGAGCGTTGGACTCCGCGTGGTGAGAGCAAGCGTCCCCGGTTACAACAGTCCGGGTTCGAAGCGCGACGGGCGCTTGACATTTATGGGCCTCCTGACAGGTATGGTTGCGGTTTGTGGCAGGCCGTAGCCAGATGAAGTACGTCAGTGAGGGGACCGGCCGTGCGTGGCTTTGTGCGCACGTTAAACTTTGGACTTTAAATTCTGCCATAGAACTGGAATTGCGCGATCGGAGGATAGAGGGCAGGGTCACCGCAACAAGCTTCGCTTAGCGGTGGCTCTGTCCCTGTGAATCCTTCCTATCAAAAGGTTCGGACTAACCTTTTTTTTAATCTCGGAGACTCCGAACCCAGGGCTAGTCTACACTGGCTAAAACCGCAGAGATAGCGAGCCGCGAACTAAAACCTCCAAGACAGCCGACCACCATGGTTGGTTCTCCTGAAAGCCGCTAACTAACGCCCCAGCGTCCGTCGAGCTGGAACCAGAGACCGGCTTACTGGGACCGGTGGGCTGGGACAGGGCATGGTGGGCTGGGACAGGGGATGGTGGGCTGTGGGCTGGGACAGAGGACAGTGGGCTGGGACAGGGTACCGTGGGTTGGGACAGGGTACGGTGGGTTGGGACAGGGTACGGTGGGCTGGGACAGGGGACGGTGGGCTGGGACAGGGGACGGTGGGCTGGGACAGGGGACGGTGGGCTGGGACAGGGGTCTGTGGTCTGGGACGGTAGGCTGTGGGCTGGGACAGGGGTCTGTGGGCTGGGAAAGGGGACGGTGGGCTGGGACAGGGGACGGTGGGCGGGGACAGTGGGCTGGGCTGGGACAGGGGACGGTGGGCTGGGACAGGGGACAGTGGGCTGGGACAGGGGACGGTGGGCTGGGACAGGGGACAGTGGGCGGGGACAGGGGACGGTGGGCGGGGACAGGGGATGGTGGGCTGGGACAGGGGACGGTGGGCTGGGACAGGGGACGGTGGGCTGGGACAGGGGTCGGTGGGCTGGGACAGGGGACGGTGGGCTGGGACAGGGGACGGTGGGCTGGGACAGGGGACAGTGGGCTGGGACAGGGGTCTGTGGGCTGGGACAGGGGACGGTGGGCTGGGACAGGGGAGGGTGGGCTGGGACAGGGGACGGTGGGCGGGGACGGTGGGCGGTGGGCGGGGACAGTGGGCTGTGGGCTGGGACAGGGGATGGTGGGCTGGGACAGGGGATGGTGGGCTGGGACGGGTCTGTGGGCTGGGACAGGGGACGATGGGCTGTGGGCTGGGACAGGGGACGGTGGGCTGGGACAGGGGACAGTGGGCTGGGACAGGGGATGGTGGGCTGTGGGCTGGGACAGGGGATGGTGGGCTGGGACGGGTCTGTGGGCTGGGACAGGGGACGGTGGGCTGGGACAGGGGAGGGTGGGCTGGGACAGGGGACGGTGGGCGGGGACAGTGGGCTGGGACAGGGGACGGTGGGCTGTGGGCTGGGACAGGGGACGGTGGGCTGGGACAGGGGTCTGTGGGCTGGGACGGTGGGCGTGGGCTGGGACAAAGGACGGCCGTCACACGAGGGAAGTAATCAGCGGTTCAGACCATCAATCAAAGGCCAGTGGGGATATTGTGCAGCAAGATGGCGCCAGTTAAAAAAAAACTGAACAAGCAATTTACCTACTGGGATTGAATGCCCTTGGTGACATTCACCAATCACCGGGGTAACCACAGGAGTGAATCACCAATGTTACAGAAAAATCAGTTACCAAAAGATGAATACACTGTCATCACCTCCTCCATAGTTGTAGCCGCCGAGCCGCTGTTCGCTGTAACGGACATTATTTTCGATTCGTTGGGTGAGATGCCTTTGGTGAAATGCGAAACTTCAGCTAATGATTTATTCAAATCTTAGTTCATCTCTATGTCATGTCATGTCATGTCGTTAAAGCTTTATGCATCTTACGGCTCAGTGCTAAATCAATTAGTATACACAAACCTACGCATCGTAATACAGCAATCGAAAACCCACCAATTTTAGCCTTTTTCGATGACCTGGAAATTTAAATTAAATCTCGCGGGCATCGCACGCGAATATAACTAACGGCGCCGCCACATGACAGACTATTTACAAGTATGTACAATACCGTATCGGAATAACGTGATGAGGCGGCAACACTCCCCACCTTGACCCGATCAGGGCTCAACACTCACTACACAACTGCACATGCCATTAAAGCTGACCACTGTACAGCATACACTTAAGTGACCTTTGTGGCATCAACTTTCTAACGCGCCATGCAAATGAGCGCCTGCCACATTTGAGCCCTATTTGGTTCAATAACAGGTCCCAAATACTACCGCGCTAAACAAGCACTATTCAACTGTTAGAACGTCAGCATGACAAGCACCAACACAAGGTTCATCACCGATCCATCAATTGTCTCAACTATTTCTGGTCACCATCAGTGCGGCATGGTGCTCTGACGAGTAGCACCTTACAGAGATGCTATATCTTTGTGTTCTCACTATTCTGTCTCCAAGATGAGAACGAGCTTCGATATCGGCCTCTTCAGAACTGACGTCTCGGTCTGTACCATTGCAGATCGGACGAAGCCTTTCCGGTCCGGGAAAGTCTCTTTGATTCGGCCCAGAGGCCACCTGGAGCGTGGTGTGCTCGTATCCATGACAAGCACTACGTCATTAACTGCTAGATTTCGTTCCACCTTGTTCCACTTGTGTCTCAGTTGTAATAGCGGCAAATACTCCCGAATCCATCGTTTCCAGAAGATATCGGCCAAATACTGCATTTGTCTCCATCTTCTGCATTTGTGATGATGCACCAGGTGGGTTGAATATCCACGTGATGCCCTCCTTCAGGAGAAATTCGTGGACTTTCTTCTCTTGAAGTCTCTTCAACTCTTCGCGCAATTCTTTCTCGGCCGCCACAAAGTTGGTACCGTTGTCCGACCGTATAAACGTAGCCTGACCTCTCCGAGCCTGGACACGCCGCAATGCGTTGATGAATGAACTGGTGTCGAGGCTCTCGCATAGCTCTATGTGTACAGCTCTACTGGAAAGACAGCTGAATAAAACAGCATATCTCTTGAGCTGTTTTCTACCGATTTTCACATAAAATGGACCAAAGAAGTCCGTTCCAACTTGGCTGAACGCACCCATGTGCGCTGTCGTTCTTTCAGAGGTAAGGGAATCTCGTAATGTCCATCGATATAGCGTGTTCCCGCTTCGACCGTTTTCAACCACACTCTGTCCTCCACTGACAGTCCCACGTCGGTGGAGCTGCCGTTGTCTTCGAATTCCTTATTATATAGCGAGACGAACTTCTCATGAATATCAGAATCACCTCTGAGTACACTGACTCTGTTTACTCTTGCCGCTCCATGATCTCTGGTGGATCGGAGTTCTCGGGGTCCATACACAGCCCAGCCCAGCTCTGAACGGAACGCAAATGGCTCGCCTTCACCGCCTCTCCTGACCTCAAGTGGACACAAAGCCTCGGGACAGTTTCCGCCAATCATGAGGCCGATCTCAGCGTCTACTTGTGTCAGAGGAATTCCCTCGAGATGCATCCATTTACCGATGTCGGCTGGGGTTGCGATGTCCTCGTGTTTAACTGGTATCCTTTCAAGTGTGTAGGTGGGTGGCAGCTGAACAGCAGTTGAAGAATGAAGGCCTGTAATAGATAAGCCCTCGACTACTTGACATTGTACGGACTGATTTTCAGAAGCAGCAGTCATCATCGTCAGCCTTGTCGCTTTTCCCTTGACGTTCAGCCTTTTAAGCAGAAGATCCGTGCAGAATGTTGCACTTGACCCGAGGTCCAGAAACGCATGAGTGACGACCGATCGTGAGCCGTCAGGTGATCGAACTAACACGGGTATCACTGCCATCATTGTGGACGAGTCTCCGCGAGCACCGGCCGCCACTTCTGCGCCGTCTATTTCCAATCGTCCGTTTCTTACGACGGCTGCCGGCCCTGCACTGCTACCACTGCTTTGCTTGCTTGTAGCAGAAAATTCGGAAGGAGATGCCTGCTTGTCGTTGTGCAGCGGAGTCGGATGGCGACCCTTGCAGATCTTGCAGGACAGCCTTTTTGTGCACACACTGATCTGATGCCGCTGCCGAAGGCACCCGAAGCAAAGTCTTTGTTCAACGATGAACGTTCTTCTCTTTTCATAGGGCTCATGATTCAGCCTCTCACAGGAATCCGTTGAATGCTGCTCGGCACAGTACAGGCACGTCATCACCCGAGGAGATGCGTCCTTATTGACACCTGTTGCAGACACGATATGAGGCTTCTTACCGCTTCCATCTGGCTTGGTCAGCTTCCCGAAGGTGGGATCTGTGATTTTTCTCACTTCTCTGTCAACGAAAACTACGATGTCTTCAAATGTCACCTTTCTGTTTGCTTCTTCCTTTATTTGTATCACTCTGTTGCGCCAGCTGTCCTGGCAGTGATAGGGAAGCTTTTCCACTATCTTGCGCATCGTTCTTGGATGGTCAGTCTCTCTCGACCCTGGAGGTATATCTTTCATCACGTTGAGACACGACGTGAGCGCGATGGAGAACTTGTCCAGGCTGTCCACATCACCCGGCTTGATAGAATTCCAATCAGTCAGCATGTCGACAAATGCTGAAGACACCGAATCAGGGTCTCCATATCGCCTGTTGAGCAGGCGCCTGGCCTCCAGATAACCCGACCCATCTGACATATGCGCGCATCCACGTACGATATCAAGAGGCTTCCCGCGCAAATAGGTCTGAAGATAATAAAGCCTCTCGTCGGGATCATCAGTTTTACTGGCGACTCTGGAGTCGAAAGCTCTAACAAAACTGCGATACTTCGTTACATCGCCGTCGAAGACCGGTATCTCCAGCTTAGGCAACTGGCCCTTCTGAAGCTGAGTGAGCAGCACCCTTGAGTAGTCTGCCTGCTGTGACTGCTGAGGCTCTGTATGACCCCTCTGCTCTGTCGCTGCTCCTGCTGCCTCCGTGTCGTCTATGCTCCTAGCCTCGTGCGTGGTGGGCTCCCGCGATCTCCCAGACGGTCCATCAGAACAGCGACGCTCTTGGGTAGGGTTCCTGAGCCCTGTTTCTGGCTCAGCATTCCCAGAAGTCAGAGACTGAGAGGACGGCTGGTTTTGTCGGTCGGAGAAGGATGTGACTGGTCGTGCCGTGGCCGCCATGCCCTCTGGCTGATCAGCTTCCGCCAGGATCTTCTCTCTTGCCTCCGATTCTGCAAGCTCGGTTCTTATCATTAGTTCCTCTCTACGAAGCCGAAGATTCAGCTCCTCCAATTCGATTTTACGTTTCTCCTGCAGAAACGAGGCTCGTGCCAGCAATGCAGCTCTTTTTGTCGCTTCAATAGCTCGCAGTGAGCGCACTGAGGCGGCAGAGGCGGAAGTGTGACAAGAGACAACTGACTCGCCACACACGGATTGGTCATTCAACGCCGCCTCAGTTATGGAGTCGTTATCTTGTCCGTTGTTGTAATCGGCGTCTTCTCGGTTCCTGCTAGAACCATCGTCCTTTTCATATCTCATAAGCTCTTGCAAACGTCGAACTAGAACGGCCTTCGTGCCCTTAATATTTGCGTGTCTCTCCCTCAGTCGCTCTTTCAACTCACTCACGGTAAGTCTGTCAAGCTTGTCCATTTTGTGACTTCCGCCAGTTGCGTCCGATTAACCAATCAAATGCAGCACAGTGGACCGATTGATCTGCTGTGATGCGTTGAATGCGATCGTCTCTCACGTCAGGTCAGGACGAGACGAGACGTCAGCCATGAAGCGCGTATGAACTCGCCTTCAGACGTTTTCAATTGGTGCAGTCAATCTGTCACGCAAGTCCACTAAAGCCGTCGTTTCCTTGGAAATACAAGAGCTTTTCACATTTTGCAATCATTCTTAGGCCTCATCTCGCAAGCTATTGCAGTCTTGCCAACTTAATCTCGCTTACATCCAAATATGTCATTGTTCTTGCATAGTTCTATGCTTTACCTTCTCGTTTGGCTTTAACTTCGCACAAAGCTTTATCTTAAAGCCTTTACTTGAATGCACTGGCTTTAACTAAATGCTTTAGCTTGAATGCATCAGCTTAAACTTAACTGTGAAAAGTTTTAAATGCAAAGCCTTTAAACTAAATGCAAGCTTCGACCTCGAACAAAGCCTTAACTTTAAGCCTTTACTTTAATCCATCAGCTTTAAGTTAAGTTAAATGCTAAAGCTTTAACTGTAGCCGCCGAGCCGCTGTTCGCTGTAACGGACATTATTTTCGATTCGTTGGGTGAGATGCCTTTGGTGAAATGCGAAACTTCAGCTAATGATTTATTCAAATCTTAGTTCATCTCTATGTCATGTCATGTCATGTCATGTCATGTCGTTAAAGCTTTATGCATCTTACGGCTCAGTGCTAAATCAATTAGTATACACAAACCTACGCATCGTAATACAGCAATCGAAAACCCACCAATTTTAGCCTTTTTCGATGACCTGGAAATTTAAATTAAATCTCGCGGGCATCGCACGCGAATATAACTAACGGCGCCGCCACATGACAGACTATTTACAAGTATGTACAATACCGTATCGGAATAACGTGATGAGGCGGCAACAATAGTGATATGTTATCAATTAAGATTCTGATTAACTTAGGTCTGTCCCTTCACTTCTGGCTTAAAAAATAGCACAAAATGAACATAAAAGGAAAAACAAATACACAATGATTGATCAACTCTGTGGTGTGGCTTATGACAATTACTGAACAAAAACTTAACACACAACAGTTTGGGAACACCTGCATCCTCCCAACTCCCACAGTCATCAACGAATCACAAGCTGATGGCATGCCGGATATATTCATGCTTGGTTCACAGGTGCTGTTTGGCTACAGTCAGCACACCACTAATTCTTAAATCAATGAGAATTGCACAGATGCTTACCAGCCATCGCACCACACCCGAACTTGCTTCTTCTCAGGTTTTTGTTCTGAGCCAGACATGATTACTGGTTAATACCTGAAAAGAAGGCACCATTATTTAAAAAAAAAACAGCAAAATCAATAACTTGCACCATATCAAACATATACCTAATTGTTCAAAGTTTATGACAGCAAAAAGGGGTTAAAGCCAGGCAGAGCAGTCAGCAGATAAAGATTAAAGTGAATCTAATAAAATGTATACCATGATGATGAGCCCAATCTAAGGTGTGGGGCCTTGCACGTCTAGGTGTTCTAATTTCCAAGTAACTGGAAATTTAGTCTTCAGTTCCTTGTCAAACATTCCCTGCCACACAGTGCGATGAGGGTTGTACCTGCACTGCAGGGAACGTGCGTAGGTACCCAAGATGATTAATGAGCCAGTTCAAGTTACAATACAAATATAGTTAATAATAATATAATCAAAATATGTAATTTAAATATAGAATTTTAGACCCCAAGATCAAGAAAACCATTTACTTTTGACCATAGGGTGCAAAAAGGCGATTTCAATTTCACCAATGGGGATGTTCGGCTTATTTCTTCACCAGGTGGCAGCACTGCCTTCTTTGGACACAGAAACTGTGGCGGCGAATGCGCCACTGTGTTTTGCACTGTGTGGAGTCCGTGCGGCGTCGGTTCGGGGGACTGAATTTCGGTGAATTTGATAGCAATTGATTTGAATTTTGCTCAGATGGGTTGTGAATTTATATTCAGCAAGTGTCACAAACATGGAAAGGCAAGTTTACAAAGGACAGGAGACTTAGAAAGGCTTCAATTGACGTAGCCGAAGAGAGGCGAGAAGCCGAAGATAGACCGACTCCAAACGGTAATTCCATCGATGTAACACGTTTCCCGACATTTTTTATGGCGAGCATAACTAAGAGTATAAAATAGTCTAACTTAACTCATAGCTGGATCTTGTATTGCCCATATGAGGTAATTTACCTGTATGAGTTTATGGGCATATCAATATAGGGAATTGACCTGCACCCTTTGAGAAAGGCATTAAAAGATGATACATGCTGCTGAGAATGATTATATAAATTCAAGATTTATTGCAAGCATTTTAGCAGTGTTCTACTTTGTCTGGTACCAAAGATATTGCAAGCAGCTAAAGGTTATGATGGAAAAAGACAAATTACTATTTTGACACCAGCAACCAGAAGGTGTATGTGATAGAACACTAAGCTACCTACTATTTATGAATTGTTACAAGTATTGATCATCCTACATGGTGTTACAGGTGCCCAGTGCAATAATGTTTCTGGTGCGGAGTTGTCAGGATGGAGTCCGAGGAATCAAGGAAGGCAGAGGACCTGCGTATGAAGGAACCAGCCCTGCGGATGAAGTTCTGAGGTGCATACAGAGGGATCCCACTGAAAGACCAGGTAGGAGTTGGTGAACAGCTTGTGCACTGCAGTATATCATCCAGAAGTAACTGATAGCCTTTCTTGCAAAATGTTTTTTTTAACTCATGTCTCATCACCACCGAAAGCTACTCATTATTGATACAATATCTTCATTTCATCAGGTAAATTATTGTTTACTCTAAGTTTTGATTCACACTGAAGTGAACACTATTTTAGAATATTCACTCAGCTTTTTTAGCAACTAAATACGGGCAAGTTTTTTTGTTGTTTTTTAAAATAAATTTTCACTTTCTAGAATATTTGTATAGGTAACTGCAATAAAAGTGCATTTCAAAATTGCAAATACTTTGTGTAAAGTTCATGGGTCTTGATGAAGTCACTGTATCCAGTTCATCATATCAGATTTCAACTGTGCTTAAACTGCAATGTTTTGCTAATTGCTTCAGTATATAATGTCCTTTTATCCATGCATGCTAAACATGTGTATTGTGTATCTCATTATGACTTGCCAAGATCTTTCCCTGTATTATGCCATTTTTCATTTATTCACAGGTGCAATGCTGCATTGATAAGATCCAGATTCAAGAGCATGGATGCTACCAGATCCTGTGATTTGAAGGTGTGTGTGCTGTGAAGGCTGCTGAAGGCTGTGTTGACTATGTGAAGGCTACTTGACTGAACAGAACATTGTGGATTTGTTAATTAAGTACCTCTTTATTACAAGTTTGTGCCCATTACAAGCCAAGCTTAGTTTACTTAGTTTGTTGCAAGGTTTCCAGGCAGCCTTCACACTTGTGTTGCTGAATATTAAACTTTAACTGAAGACCGACGAGATATTGTCCCTTTCGCATCAGATTGTAATCAGTCAGTCGTGGTGGTAGAAGGTACAGTCTGTCTTAAAGTACCGCGCAAAGTCATGGATCCATCAAGCCTGACCGAGGAAGGGTCTGCTATAATTTGAAAGTCACCGAACCAATTGACCTGGGGAACGGACGAGGATGTCATGTAGAGCCACGCAGAAATCGCCGGTGATTCGTTGCCCATCATTACAGAATGAACGCATGCCGGATGAAGGGTTAAGTCAATAGTCTGTACAAACTATATACAGGGATGTGATTGACTTATCTGACAGTGACGAGCGCTAGAGATCAACTTAAGACCGTAGGTATGCGTTCTTGTCATGGAATGTGTGCTGCAAATCGATTGTTACATGCGTGTGAATATATGTCGGAATGTAAAAAGGTTTTTAATTTCAACTGTGTAAGTTAAAATATGTGATAACATCGTATCTTTCGTACTCCGTAGCTTTTGGTGACCATTCGATCAGCTCCCTTTCCTTCCAATCAATGACGATGTAGTAGTTTGCCTTTCACACGCGTCATTGTCTTCCTAATATCGAAATCAACTGTAGCTACTCATTTTAGCAAAATAATGAACCTGAAAAAGATATGAAACGCAGTTTCCGTTCGCGGCGCGTCGGCCGCCGTCGCCGCCCGCAGTGTTATCCCCGGCCCGGCCGGCGCCCGGCCGGCGCGTTGTGTCCAAAGCATACCGTGCTGCCACCTGGCGAGACTTTTCGGAACTCTTAGCGCGAACATCCCCATTTCATCGAACACCGACACGACCCATCCAGGGTTTATAAAAATCAAGATTCCTATAAATAAGTAACATAAACCAAGATCATCTATATAGGTAACCCAAGGAACATAAAACACTTCCAACACACCTCAGCAACATCCGAGGCCTCTTATACGGCGTATAGTGATGCTTACCGAAGAGATGCTTACCGAAGAGATAGGAGTAGGAGGCATGGGAGCGGATGGCTCATGAGGGTTGCCTCCTCTCATTGTTAGTTAGCATGTACTTGTCGAATCTTCTCTTGAATTGATTGACATTCTCACTTTGTATGACAGTTTCAGGCAGGCAGTTCCACTTGTCGACAACTCTAGATGGGAAGAACTCGTTACGTTTTTGTGTTCTGTGTCTTGGCTTAATTAGCTTCATACTGTGTCCCCTTGTTCCTTGCTGTCCATGATCCAGGACCAGAAATGCACAGTCTGTTTTGATTCGGTCAAAGCCTTTGAGTATTTTGAATGTTTGAATCATGTCGCCTCTAGTTCTTCTCTTTTCCAGTGTGGTTAAGCCAAGTCTTTGGAGCCGCTCTTCGTATGGCAGATGAGACAGTGATGAGACAAGTTTTGTGGCCCTCCTTTGCACCTTCTCCAGCTTCACGATATCTTTCTTGAGATAGGGGGACCATGCTTGAATTGCAAATTCCATCCGTGGTCTTACAAGTGCCTTGTATAGCGGCAGGAGGGTTTCTTCACTGAGACATGTTAGGGTGTTCTTGATACGGCCTAGCATAGAGTTTGCTGCTGCTGCTGCTCTGGCGACTTGCATGGCAGGTTTCAGGTCAGTGGTTATTAGTACCCCAAGGTCTTTTTCTTGCTCCGAGTGTGCTAGTTGGGCTCCTCCCATTCTGTATGGGTATTTGGGATTCCTTTTGCCTATGTTCAGTACAGTACATTTCTTCTCATTAAATTTAAGAAGCCACCTGTTGCTCCACTCCTGTAGCTTGTCGAGATCTGCTTGCAGTCGCTGCCTGTCTTCTGGACACTTGATGCGTCGAAAGATCTTTGCATCGTCTGCAAAGAGCTTCCCTCCTGACTGGAGTCCATCCAGCAGATCATTTATATAGATGAGGAACAAAGTCGGTCCCAAAACACTGCCTTGGGGCACGCCACTCCTGACCTTCCTCCAGCTAGATCGTGTTCCTTTAATGCATACCCGTTGCTCACGGTTTGTTAGAAAAGATCGAATCCAGTGTGCTAGTGGGCCCTCAATGCCAGCTGCCCAGAGCTTCGCTAGAAGATGGTCGTGCGGCACCGAGTCAAATGCTTTGGCACAGTCTAAGTACACGGAGTCAACGCTGTCTCCATCATCCATCGCATTCTCTAGCTCACACAGATACTCCAAGAGCTGTGTTAAACACGACATCCCAGATCGGAAGCCATGCTGATGGATGCTGAGGAGACCAGACTCTTCAAGATGGCTGATTAGGCGGGTCCTGATTAGTCGTTCTAGTGTTTTACAAGCAACAGATGTCAGGCTTATAGGTCTGTAATTGAGTGGGTCGCTCCGACTGCCCTTCTTATAAATTGGTGTCACGTTTGCCCTTGTCCAGTCCCTCGGTACGCGTCCTTGTTGCAGTGATGCTTGAAAAACAGTTGTCAAAGGTGTACTCAGACTGGTCGCACAGTGCATTAGCACAACCGGGTGCACTCCGTCAGGACCTGGAGCTGACGGCTTCAGACTACGCAGTGTCTTCTCCACTTCATCCCTGGTTATTTCCACCTGTGTCAGTTTTTCACCCTGGAAACCTGTTAGAACTGACCAGGGGGGAGAGACAGCGGTTCTTGTAAATACCTTCTCAAACTCTTCATTTATCACTTCACATGCCTCTTCTAACGTCTTTGTGTCGGCCCCATTCTTGTTTTTAACAGACAAAACTTGTTCTTTAATTGAGGTTTTACTTCTAGCATAAGCATAAAATGCCTTGGGGTTCGTCTTGGCTTCCTTGGCAAGCTTGGTTTCAAACAGGTACTTTGCCTCCCTCACACTCTTTGTTGCCTTGTTCCTTATCTTCTTGTACTGGTTCAGGTGGGTCTTGCTTTTTGATTTTCTGTATCTGTCCCAAGCATGCTCCTTCCTCTGTATGTCCTCCATTACCTTCCGAGTCATCCATTTCTTCTTCCTGTGCTTTCTGTTTGGGCTATTCATGTGGGTTGGAACACAGTGATCAACAACAGCGTTGTAGTGCATCATAAATATGTCCCATGCAGCTTGCACATCTTTCCCTCCAAGTTCCTGTATCCAGTTAATATCAGCAAACATGTTGTTTGCTTCTTCATAATTGCCCTTAAAGAAATTCTTTCTAGTATCAGCTTGCAACTGTGGTTCATTGCCTTC